ACGCTGTTTATGAGGACAGTGGGTATTTGGGACTTGAAGCCCTGCTCTTTGTGTGTCCCCCTTTGCCTCTCATCAACCATGTTCCCCGCTCCAGATGGGCTCCATCCCAGAGCCCCACTGGGGCAGGCAGGGATGTAGCAATCTGTCACCCTCACACAGGGGAGCAGTGGTAGTGCCCCCAGCAGGTTCTTACCTATGACCTGTGCAGGACACCATTGCTCACCCCTCTGCCTGCTAGTGGTAACGCTCCATTAGGCACTTCACCTTGTCCAGAAGAAGCACCATGATGTACTGCCTCCAAATCCTGTTGTCTCTTGTTGGCCTGGGACTGTCCTTGGGCTCTGTGGCAGGAGAAAAGTCCCTTGTGTTAGAGAATGTGTACCCACCCCTTCCTCAGAGCATCTGGGACTGGCACAGCTGGATGCGGGGCAGTTGCTTTCAGTGCTGGGCCTGTGCTGCTCTCAGGGATCTCCCCGTGCTCCCAAACTATGCGACCGCTGCATATGGCTTCTGCCATCCCCACAAATCAGACTCAGGGTCCTGCAGGGAATCCTTGGAGGTCCCCCAGCCCAGGCACAAGCTCTCTGGGCAGGCTGCCAGCAGGCTGCCAACACACCTCCACAGGTTTTAGCAGAAAGAGGGATTTGGATGCATAGGAAGCATCAGGATCCCCAGCCCCGAGTCATGCATGTGACAGGATGGCATTTGGGGCACCATCTGCCACGGGACACGAGGCACCGTCTGCCCTGCAGAGGCCATGAGTGCTGAGGTAGCACAGCAGCCCTCATGCATGCACTTTTTGCAGAGCAGCAGTCCCTGGCTGCAGGGTGCGGGCAGAGGGGGAGGGCAGACGACTGTTGGCATTGGTGCATTCAAGCGGGAGGTGTGTGCAAAGCGGGTCTGGGTTGCAGCGTACAGATGGGGTCCCAGGAGAGGAGGCCGGGGCATTCCCAGTGTGCACTTGCACCTGACTGTGGCTGTGCTGGGTGACACTGCTCACATCCCCACAAATACTGAAGAAAAAAACATATCATGACACCACAGAGAACCACAATGCTGATCTGGCTTTAGGTTGGGGCAGAGTTACCTTTGAGGCTATGGGGCAGCCGGACCAGAGCAGCACGAGGCTGGTGCTGGGGTTCAGTGATTAATATCATCGCTGTTCCGATGGCGATGCTCCAGCAGCACCAGGAGTTCCCATCAGCGCTGCTCGCTCGTGGACAAACGCTGTCATCTTCCCAAAGGTGCAGACTGCTGCCCCAGCTAGGGTCCAGCTCCCCCTTCTCCCCAGTTTGTACATCCCCGTTTTTGTACAGGTAGTTCAGAGACACACTGTCCCCCTCCCCGCCAGGCCCCACACGTGAGCTGAGTTGCTGTGCAATTCCGAGCCTGGCTGCTGTGTAGGCAGAGGCGGAGGGGTGTTGGTAGCCCTGCCCGCATGGGGCAGGAGTTCTGTGCAATACCCAGTTCGGTGTTCCCAGACGCTGTGGTAGGACTGTATTTTTGTAACTCTGTGAGTGCCCGCTCTAGCAGGCCCGGGGCCTGGCGTGAGCCCGCGCTCCCATCGCTTTTTGACTTTTGACTGTTTGGATGTTGTTGTTTCTTGCTATTGAAATAAAAAAAAAAAGTGGATGTTTTAATTCCTTCCGCTGCGGTGGGCGTGGGGTGGGTGACACGTGGCTGGGGTGAGCCAGGTTGGGCCTCAGCCTCTGGGGCAGCGCGGGGCACCGGCACTGCAGGGATGCAGTGTGGGATCAGCTGCAGCAGGAAGGCTGCTGCCCGCTTTCAAGAGCGAAGGATGAGGAAGGCTGCTGCCTCTTGGGATACCTGCACCAGCACCACCAATCCTGCAGCTTCACAGAGGGCAGGTAACCAACCCACACGCTGTGCGATTGCAGTGTTTGTCGCACTTGCTCTCCCTCTTTTCCCTCCTTCCTTCAGTGTGAGACCCCTTCCTGCAAACGCAGCCCCCTGCTGCCGGTTGGGGCCGCAGGAACCATTTCCCGCTCCGCACAGCCCCGTTGTATCCGAGGCTCCGTGCTCGGGCTCTCCTCACCCCCATCCCCCGGCTGCCTGCCGTTTGTGATTCCTGGCGCCGAAGCAGCTCCCAGGGGCCCGCAGCCCACTCCCAGCGACCTTCCTTCTGGGGAAGGGGCACAAAATGGCTCTGCTGCCCACCTCAGCCCCTTCTTCCGGCCGCCGTGGCCGGGGGCTGGGAGGAGAGCTTCGCGTTAGCCCTGGTCGCCCGTGGGGAGAGATGGTGGTGAATCCGTCCATGAGGGCAGAGGGCGAAGGAGGCACCGACGGGGCTCCGCCTGCGATCCGCAGAGCCCCGCGACTCAGCGCCGAAGTGCTCTCGGAGCCCCGGACCGCTCTGCAACGCTCGCACACGGGTACAGAGGGACGCAACGACGGCCTCGTAGGGGCTCGAGCCCCCGACAGCCGAGCCGAACCGCGCGGCCCCTCCCCGCTGAGCAGCTCCCCCAGCCCCCGGGGCCGCCCCTCGGCCCGCCGCCAGCCTTTGTGGCTGGCCGTGCTGCCGGGGGGCAGAGGAGGGGCTTGCATGGGGAGTTTGGGCTCCGACCACCTCGGGCTGCCGGCGGGGCCCGACGTCAGGGGCCGCTGTGCTGCGCTGCGCGGGGCTCCGCACGCGGCCGCCACACAAAAGGCAACGGCGCCGCTCCGCGCCGCAGGTGAGTGGGGGGGTGGGGGCACACGGAGCTCCGCAGGCGCACCCCCTGCCCCGCCGAGGGAAGGGGCTCGGGGGGCGCCGGGGTTCCCGCGCGGCAGGGCGAGGGCCACCCCCTCTCAGCTCCACGGGGGAGCGGGGCGCACCCTGAGGGTGGGGAGGGGGTGCGGGAACGCTTCTGGGAGCGGGGGCTGCGCCGTGCGGGGCTCGCGGCGAGGGGCGGCGGAGGGATGGGTGCGGAAAGGCTCCCCGAAGAGCCCGGCCTTGGGGGAGACGGAGGGGGCCCGGAGCCCCCAGCGCTCTCGGCCAGGCCGACGGGTGCCGGGGGGCGGGAGCGGGGCACTGTGCCCAGGAAGGGCCGGGGCTCCTCTTTTGAAGCATCACCTGGCGCGTCCTTCGGCTCTGATGCGGGGTCAGTCCGCGCGGGGCAGCGAGGAAGGATGGGGACGGGGCCGGGCCGGGGCGAGGGGTACAGGCGGTGGAAGGTTGCGTTCCGTGCGCCGGGACTGCTTCCAGCGAAGGGGGCAGCGCTCAGCACTCAGAGCTGGGTGCACGCGTGCACATGTATGAGCACTTACGCGTGCACACGCACTCACCCGCCCGGCAAACGCACGGAGGTGCGCTGGGAGCCGCGGTGCCGGCAGTGGGCGCCGCTCTCCCATTCAAGCGCTCCTCGAGCTCCCACGCTGCGCGTATCCGTCTGTGCGAATTCCGCTGGCTCCGCTCCAGGCCCCTCGCGGCAGGGGCTTCGCTTTCCATGCCTTTCTTCTCCCCTCGGCCCCCGGATTCCGCGGGGGCCGGGCCGAGGCACCGCGGCAGCCCCTGTGCTCCTGGGGCCCGGGGCGATGCGCGGTGCCCATCCCTCCCTTCCTCGCTCCAGGCAGGATGCAGCCCCGGGGCCTCCTCCTCCTCCTGGCACTGCTGCTGCTGGCGGCCACTGCCGAGGCTGCCAAAGCCAAGAAAGGTGAGCGGGCGCCCGGGTGGGCACGGGGAGGTCTGGGTGTGCCGCCCCGTCTCCCAGCCGCTGCCTCCCTTGCAGAGAAGGCAAAGAAGGAGGGTTCCGAGTGCCAGGACTGGCGCTGGGGGCCCTGCGTCCCCAACAGCAAGGACTGCGGCTTGGGCTACCGCGAGGGCACCTGTGGTGATGAGAGCAGGAAGCTCAAGTGCAAGATCCCCTGCAACTGGAAGAAGAAGTTTGGAGGTGCGAAGGTGGCTGTGGGGGGACTGGGGCTGCATTGGGGCCACACGTTCCTAATGCCTCTCCCTTCCTGCAGCTGACTGCAAGTACAAGTTTGAGAGCTGGGGAGGGTGCAGTGCACAGACAGGTGTGAAAACACGCTCAGGCATCCTGAAGAAAGCGCTGTACAATGCCCAGTGTGAGGAGGTGGTCTATGTGAGCAAGCCCTGCGCCGCCAAGATGAAGGCCAAGGCCAAAGGTGAGTCCTCAGCTCCCCCAGGCAGCACTCAGGGTCAGAGCTGGGCAGGGAGCTGCTGGTGGTTGCAATAATGCTAACACATCTTCCATGGTCATTGGGTGCAGCTAAGAAGGGCAAGGGGAAGGACTAGAGAGGGGTGGACGATGTCCTCATCGGTCCCGGACATATGTGCCTCTCCCACCACAAGGAGCCACACTCCAGCTGCCTTCCTCTCCTTCTCCTCCTCTTCCTCCTCTCCCCACCTCCTCTGCCACCGAGATGCCTTGTTTAATCGTTAGTTTTGTTGAGAGCAGACCAACTGGCCCTGGGAAGCTGCTGCCACTGCCCTGGGGGCTGCTGCAGCCATACTGACCATTGCTTTGAGTGGTGCCGACTGGATGCTCTCACCTCTTTTGGGAAATGGGTTTTGGTTTCTTTTCCAATAAAATTTTTAAAAAAACATAACTGAGTCAGATCCTGCCTGACATCCCTGTGCAGCGGTGCAGGGCTGGGACCCCCGGAGAGGAAGGGGATCTGGCCCTTCACCTTCACATCCGTCTCTGCTCAGAGTGATGCTGTGGGGACGCGGTGCCATTGTGGGGTTCATAGCACCACCAGGGTGTCTGCCAATCCCCTGGGACCAGAGGGAGCGGAGCAGTTACTGTGTGCCTGGGGACAGCAGCCTGGATGCCACCCGCATCAGCCCCACAGCAGCACCTCATCTCAGCAGCACTTCAGGCTGCTGCCCTCTTCTTGCTCCCACCCCTGTCCTGCGGTGGGTGACAGAGGCGCATACAGGAATGTTACCGTGAACCGTCTGCGTCTGCACTCACTGTCCCTATCAGGGCCCATGCGATGCTGAGGACAACACCACATGGAATCCTCAACCTGTGGCCTTTGGTTTCTGGTCCGAGGTCTTTATTTGCTGGGGGTCAGCTGTAGCTGTAACACTTCTCCGAAACCCAAAACCAACCCGCCAGGCAATGTGGGTAATGCTATGTCAGGATCCTAAAGGCAGTGGCAGTGAGGGGGGCAGGGCAGCCCTTCTCCAGGTTGCACGGCATTGCCCTGGCATGGAGTGAGACAGACAAACAGACATGGCAGTGTCCCCACATTTCAGCAGAGCCCCAGCCTTGGCAGAAGTGAGGCAACAGCACGATGGGGCCTGGGCTGCACGCACGGGGCCAGGAGGGGCTGGTGGGACCCCACATGCTGAGGACTCTGCAACAGCAGAGGTTGTGGGGTTACGTCCATTTACAAAGCTCAGCAGTCATCTCCTGTGTCCTCCCTGGGTCCACCATGGTGGGACAGTGTCCCACACTGTCCCCACAGGTCCCTATGCCAGGAGGTGACATTGAGACAAGGAGGGAGCTCACTGCTGCTTGGGCACAGCCCCAACCTCATGAGTGGACAGTCCGAGGGCCTTCTGTGCGCACACCTAAGCCATCCAGGTCCAAAGTGGCTGGCAAAAGTTGAGCCCCTCTGTTTCTTTTCATCTTGGGTAGTAAATAGTCTACAAGGCTATTGAAAACACCCAGTGTTAGGCTGTTTGTGTGCAAACAAGCTCGGACAGCTGGGAGACAGTCAGCCACAGGGAGAAGAGGCAGCCAGTCTGATGAGGAGTACTGATGCCTGTCAGCCAATACATCCAGGACAGGGAGCTGGGAGGGCTCTGGTTAGCACATCTGGCCTCAGCTCGCCTTCCTCCCCATCCCTTCAGTGAGTCCCTGGGCTCAGGATGTGCTGCAGCTCAGAGGTGCTGTGGACTTTTGTCAGCACTATAGGGCACCACCTGCCAGCACTTCGCAGTCTGCGCTTCTGTGAGAGGGAGCAGAGGACCTCTCCAGGTGAATGAGACGAAGGGGAGGACTGCCGTAACGTTGCTGAAGTGGTCCCTGAGCACCAGCTTACCTGGCCGTGCCAATGTTCCTGTACTGGCACATGAGGAGGTGCTTAAAGGTTTTCTTGAACGTGGCATTACAGAGGGCATAGCAGGCTGGGTTGATGGTGCTGTTGACGTAGCAGAGCCAGTAGCCAATGGACCACACGGTTTCCGGAACGCAGGTCTCGCAGAAGGTGTTAATGAGGACCATCACGTTGTAAGGAGTCCATGTGAGTATGAAGGCTAGCAGGATGGCAAATATGGTCCGGGTGACCTTCTTCTCCCGGGCTGCCATCTGGCGCTTCTTCCGCACCTGGCTCCTGGCGATGCTGGCAAACTTCCTGGCGACATTGGCAGGGCGGCTGTTGGACAGGGAGTTGTGGTCAGAGGCTCCTGCCTTAGCTGGGACGATCTCGATGGCGGTGACACATTCGGTCCCAGTCTGCTTGGTGACGATTTTTATCTTGGACCACTTGGAAGTCGGGTTCACCCGAGGATGGGCGGGGCTCTGTCCTTGTCCTGCTGGCAAGATTTCCGTTGTGGGCTTGTCTTTGGTGGTCTGGGTCATGCTGACTGTGCTGGACTCATTGGAGGTCTCCTTCTCCTCCTGCTGGCCAGCGGCCTCTGTCTGTGCAGAGGGCTGGTCATCCACCTTCCCATTCCTCACCTCCTCCTTCACCTCCACGGCCCTCTTGGGGGAGTTATTGTTGTTCTGTTTGACTGGGGGAGCCTTGAAGAAGCTGAGGGACTTGCCTTTCCTCTCTTTCCTGCTTTCGGGCTTGTGTCTCCTCACCCTGCTCCTGCTGGCCAGCGAGATGTGGATGTACAGCACCGTCATGATGACCACGGGCAGGTAGAAAGCAGCGATGGCCGTGCCGAAGGTCACCGCCGGGTTGGAGAGGAACTGGATGTAGCATTCCCTCTCGTGGACTGTCCTCTTGCCCACAATGAACTGCCAGAACAAGATGGCAGGGGCCCAGAGAATGAAGGACAATATCCAGGCGGCTGCGATCATGAGCCCCGCCATCTTGGTGGTCCTCCTGGCCGGGTACGTCAGGGGCTTAGTGACACAGAAGTACCGGTCAAAGCTGATGATGAGTAAGTTCATGACTGAGGCGTTGCTCACCACGTAGTCCAGGGCCAGCCACAGGTCACAAACCACGGCCCCCAGTGGCCAGTAGCCTTTGATGATGTAGACCGTGTAGAGGTTCATGGAGAAGACTCCGATGATGAGGTCGGCGCAGGCCAGGCTGAAGAGGAAGTAGTTGTTGACAGTCTGCAGTTGGCGGTTCACCTTGATGGACAGCATCACCAAGATGTTCCCCACCACGGTGACGAGGCTGAGCGAGCCGGTGACCGTGGCGATGAAAACCAGCTCCACCGTCTTGTAGTTGGTGGGGGGCTGGATGGCCACCTCGGAGCGGTTGCTGAGGGTGACGTTGTCGTAGGTCAGGTTGGCCATCTTCGCCTGCCAGGGCTGTGCCGAGAGGTTGTGCATGGGGTCTGCAAGGAGAATGGAGACAGAAAGGAAGAACATCACACGTGGCGGTCCGTGCGTCTGTCCAGCGTGGCTGTGAGCCCTGGGAAAGGGCCGTGCCATGGCTCTTCGTGCTCACCTGTATCTCTGGCAGCAAAAAGCTCCTTCTGGAAGAGGAAATCTGGGACAGGGAAAACAGCAAATTTTGTTACAGCTTCAGCCCAAAGATGTCCGTGTGAATCCCACAGCATCTTACTGGGCACTGGTCTGGCCTGTCTTCCAGGTGGGCTGAGGCCCAGGGCTCAGACAGGCTTCAGTTTCAGGGTAATTAGCCTCAGACGGGTTCACAGCCCAGCCCTGGCAGGTGTGGGAGATAATGGGCAGACAGCCTGCATTCATGGATACCTAGATGTCTGTAGCTGAACCCCACGGTGATGAGTGAGAGGAGAGTGGTCTTAAAAATAATCAGTGCAAAGAGGGAGCATTTCCCAGAAGAGGAAAGAAATGGAAGTGCTGGGTGGGCAGGGCAGGGAAGCTGATCTTCCTCTCCAGTACAGCTCCAGCCCCTAAGTCTGCTTTAAAAAAAAAAAACAACAACACAAAACTGTCTTTCTTTTCTACTAAGATAAGATTGCTGTGTTAAGTTTTTTGTTTGTTTTGTTTCCACTAAGTTTATAGACCAGCATCCCCCTCTAAGTGCATTTAATGGCACGGCAGAGGCTTGCACTCTCAGTTGCCCAAAGTAAAATGGAAGTGCAGCTCATCCCCCTGCACAGCTCACGAGGAGGGAACAGGAGAAGCTCGATCCAAACGTCCGTGGATGCCACCCAGAGGTCAGGCTGCAAACTTCTGGGTTGAAAAAGGAAAAAGTGGATCTTCGGGATGGATTACCGTAACGGGCGATTTGAAAGCGGCGGCTGGCTCTTTTCAGCCATGCCCGGCCCGTCGGCCGGAGCCCGTGGGACATCTCACGGCGATTCCGATGCTGATGCCCACACATCCCCAGACACCAGCCGGATCTCGGCCCTGCACAGTCCTTTGCCGGCAGCAGTCAGCCCCAGGCCCGCCCTCACCATCCTCTTGCAGCAACCTCTCCCTGGGACTCCCAGCACCCCTCCTTCCTGCAGCGCTTGGGGCGCGTGGGGCTTTCGGCAGAGCCTGGGACGGAGCTACACTTTTGCTGCCTACTGTTTGAATGCTACCTGCCTTAGCGGGATGCTCTCGGTCTTCTATAGCTCTGGGCTGGAGCTCTGACAGCAGCCAGCGCAGATACGGTGGGGAGAGGGGAGAGCAGCAGGAGGGGAAAGAGGGAAAGGCTGAAAGGACCACAGCAACAGGTGTCTGTCCCACAGCAGCTGCGCCCTCCTTGAGTCTGGGATCAAACACCTGTGGGAGAGAGAGGGACTGGGGGGAGAGAGCATCAGGAACAGGTTGGGACTGAAACCAAGGCGGCTGTGGGGGAGCAGGGATCGCGGTTGCCCTGCTTGCTGCTTTCAGCCCTGCCTGGACAGACTCCACAAGGCACTTGTCCCGTCCCTTTCATCCCATCCTGCTCCATCCCATCCCATCCTGTCCCAGCAGCCCCGCTCCCAGCCAAGGAGGCATGGGGAAGCTCAGGGTCCAGGCGCCAAGCTGCCACTCGGGATCCGCCCTGTGACCTGGACATGGACATCATGTTTGCACAAAGTGATGTTTTCCGCCCTTGGCGTTGCACAACCGAAACCTCAGAGTTTCCCACAGCCCAATCAGCCCAGTGCTGCTGGACCCAGACCAAGGCAGCGTTAACCCTTAGTGCTACAGGAACAGTCAGCTCCTGTCCTGTGTATCTCGGCCTGCCCTCATGCTTTGACCCCTCTCTCCTCCAGGTGCATGTAGCTCGGTGCCCTGAGGTGCCACCACTGCCATGCCCGGCTGGCAGTCAGGCAGTGCCAATGCTTGCTGCTGTTGTGCCCTTTGAGGAGCCGCAAAATGCATTAAGGCCATCATGGGCAGTAGAAGGGTCACCTTTCTACATCTCCAGCATTTGGCTTCCAAGCACTGCCCACTCTGCCTGCAGCACTCAGCAGCACTGGGGCAGCCTGCCCACTGCGCAGGGCTCTGCCTTTAAAGGCCAGGCTGCTGCTGCCCCTCCTGCCGGCTGACCGATGGAGCTCCTCTGCCGGGCTCTTGAGGCTGAGCAAACAGCTGCCACGGCTCCTGCATTCCCCCGGCCCCTCTGCGTCACGGCAGCAGCACAGGGCCAAGGCAGCTCTGCTTGGAATGCCAACTCCAGGCACGCTTCAGTGAGCTCACAGATGCCGGTGTGAAGGAGCTCCAGTGGAGCTCGGGTGCTGAGTGTCCCCATCACTTGGGGCTGGCGCTGGTGCTGGCAAAGGCTGAGGAGTGGGGATGGAGGTGCGAGGGGATGCAAACAGGAATGGCTCAGTGCAAAATCCTTCTGTCTTACTGCCCCAGCACACCTTGTGGCTTCCGAAGCTGTCCTTTAACTGTGCAGCTCAAGAGCCAGTGTGGATGGATGCTGAAACACAAGCAAACCTCCCTTGGGTTGATGGAGAACAAGAGGGGCACATCCCCACGGCTAACAGAGGATAGATAATGCCCTTTAATGGGCATTTTGGGGCATCAAGGGGCAGCGGGGCTGTCTGGGCTCTGAACCTCCTGCCATGTTTGTGTGTACATGGGCAGGTGAGCCATGTTGGTGCCGAAGGCGGCACCCGCTGCAAGCAGCTCCCATTTCCTTTGCTGCCACTCTCCCCCCATCCCTCAGCCCTGCAGTACCCACTTGCCCTTGGCACTGCTGGCTGTGTCTCAGCATGTCGAGGGACAGCAGCTCCAGGGCTGAGGCCTGCTGGGTGCTGCTGGGCACTGCTGGGCACTGCTGCTCCTCCCCATCTCGTTATTTTTATTACCCGACTTTGACTGTGTTTTCCTGGGGAGATGTTTGTCATTTTCATTAGAAACAACAAACAAAAAAGAATAAAGCAAAAAAAACCACAACCACGACAAAAACTGATATCAATAGGATCCTCGTGGGGACAGTTTAAAGAGAAAAACCACGCTCCTCCTGCAAACTCAGAGTAATTGGATGATGGCATTAATTAATCATTTCAGTTCATTTCTCTTCTATGAAAGAACACAGACTGACCTGCCGCCGCGGGCACGGCGTGTGGCTGAGCGCACCATGCTGATGGTGCCCCTCCTGTGTGCCCCTGCCCAGCGGACGCAGGGCACAACGCGGGGCCGTGTGGCTGTTCCTTGGGCTGCCTGTGAGGGTGACACAGCCGCAGCCCTGGGCTGTGTGGCAGCAACGCGGCTGGGGAACGGCAGGTGCCCAAGCGCCAGACGCTGGAAGTAGCAATGCTCAGAGCATCCCACCGCTGCTCAGGGTCCCAGTAAGAGCCCAGAGCTGCTGCTCTGCAGCTGGGGAAGCAACGCTCCAACCACGGTGTTGGCAAGTAGCAAGTCGAAATCACGGCCACAGTGAAGTCAGAGGGCTTGAGACCGAGGAAGGACAGAACCTGGTGTTGCACTGATTTGAGAATATGCCAAGGGCCGTTCCTCTGTTTGAAGCCAATGTCATTATTTTGGGAACGAGGTGTGTGCGGCTGCCCGACCCATCGGCCGCAGGCAGCTGTATGCGATGCGCGGCCCGGGGGAAGCACTGCCCTTCGCAGCACGGGGCTCTGCGCAGCGCTGCGCGTCCCGGGTAGGGAGGGACAAAGTAGAGAAAGAGAGGGCATCTCGTCCCAAAACCAGGGGGAAGCAAAGGCGGAAACCCGCGTAGCGTCCTGCCTGGGAGACAAATCTCCGTCCAAGAGGAGGTACTGGGGAAGCGAACGCTCCCGGAGCCGCGGGACGGAGCACGGCGGGCACAGACCTCGGAGCGGCGCCGCCCGGACGGAGCCGCCGCCGGGTGCAGCCCTGCACCGCTCCGCTCCCCCCGGGCCAGGAAACGACGGCGGTTCCCGCTGCGGAGGGCCACTCCGGGGGCACCCAGGAAAGTTGGATGAGAGACCCCCACGATTCCCGAGCGCTCCCCCGCCCGGCACCGCGCACCCCGACGCGTGACCCATCATCTCCCCGGATCCCAACGGAGAGACCCTCGGTACCCCCAGCCCCGCGGCACTCACCGGGCAGCCCCCAGGGCGCGCCGTCGCCCGCGGCCGAGCGGTTCTCAGCGGCCATGGTGCAGCGCCGAGAGCTCCGCCGCGCCGTCGGGGGCTCCGGCACGCATGGCCCCGGCCGGCACCCGGCTCCCGGCGGCGCCGTGCGGCGGAGGGCGGGGAGGGGCGGGGGGAGGGGGAGGACCCGGCTCTGCCGGCCCGGCCCGGTCCCCCCCTCCCAACATCTCCTCCCCGCCCCCTCCCTCTCCCGCCCCCAGATGTGCCGCCCCCAGATGTTTGTCGTCTCCCCCCCCCCCCCCCAAACGCCGGAGGAAAGCTTTGGGTACAGGGGTGGGGGGGAGCACAACGTCACGGTGCCGCGGCCAATCCCCGCGCCTCCGCTCCCCCCAAAAAAACCCCTCGTGTGCCCCCTCCTTTCCCAGATGTGCTCTCCCCCCCTCCCCCGGCAGTTGTGCCGTGAGCCCCCCTGCGCCCCTCACCGCGGCGGGCAGCCCTGCAGCACCGTGGACAGCGGCGGGCAGCGGGCACCGAGCGTGGCACCGCAGGTGGGGAGGGCGCGCTGGTAGCGCCCGAAGGCAGCGCCGGGCGGCTTACGGCCACGGGGGAGCTGAGAGAAAGTGCCTTCGAGGCCGCGGCCCAAAGCCTTGACCTCGGGCACACCCCACCCTTTCCTCTTCCTTTTCTCTCCCGAAGAAAATCTGCGTCAGGGAAACCGCTGCGCTCCGGGTGCACCCGTTTGGCTGAGTGCTCCCAAGCCGATGGGGCTGCGCTGGCACTGGGCTGCTTGATGGGCTCCAGCTGTCACGGGTAGGCATTCAAAGCCTCTCCCGTCCCGCACAGCTCCCCCAGCACTCCTGGGCCCTGCAGTCCCCACTGAACCCAGTGCTCCCATCTACACGCTTTAATATTCATCAATATTCAGTCAAATACAGGCTTGGTCTAAAGAAAACGTGCCTGATGATGGAACTATTTACATTGCAAATCATTTCTAATAACCCACCAGTAGTCAGCTTGATAAATGCTAAACCATTTATCAGCCAAAAAATAATAATAATAATAATAAAATATAATAAAAACAACTCAGAACCTGAGAGAGGGAACAAACAGGTGGAGATGGGGCTCAGCCCTGTGCAGCAGCACTGAAGCACTGTGTGGGGAGCAGTGCCAGTGCTGATCCCCCCAGCAGGGACCTGAGGCCCTGGGGGCTCTCCCAAAGGGAGGAGAACGTCTGGGGGTACGGCCAGGATGCCAAATCTGGGCAGAGCCAAAGGAGGGCATTGACACCTCACTGCTCAGCAGCATCTGCCTTCCGTGCTTTCAGAGATCACTGCTGCTATTTTAAGGTTGCACTCAATTTTGTCACATTTGCCATATAAGCACGACTTGGAATATTTCAATATAATTGTTGTGTTGCAGTCCCCATTCTTGCAATGCTTATTTGCTTTCTGGGTAATGGAAGGGGTAAAGTGCTTTTGAATCACTTCTTTTATACCCATTATCCAGAGGGAAAAAAAAATTAAAAAAAAAAAAAAAGAAAAAGAAAAGAAAAACTAAAAAAAAAAAAAAAAAAAAAAGGAAAGAAAAAAGGGAAAAGAATCAAGTTGAAATGCAGGTGTGAGCTGTTCCCAAGCTAACGAGCTGGGTGCTCTGTTGGGTCCTTATCCAGTTACAAGCCATCCCCCTTTGCTCAATGCACTGTCTGGTGCTGCTGGGGCACAGGGCACCCCAGGCAGCCCAGCACCATCATCATCCCAAGGCAGGATAGGCTGGGAAGGGCCGTGCTGAGGCTTTGGGCACTGCCTGGGGCTCACAGCAGAGCTGGGGGTGGAGGAGGCTCAAGGCTGCAGCAGGAGAGAGCTCTGTGCTCCACTGGCCAGGCTAATAACCTTGTATTAAATTATGAGCCCAGGCTTGTGGCTTGTTTGTTTTTATTTTTTTTATAAGCTGTCTGTTTAGATTTATCACTGCAATTCCTGATAGTGCCTTGTCGGGGATCATTACGATAATCGCAGTGCAGTGTCTGCGGGGAAGGGGAGGGGAGCAGGGTGCCGAGTAGGAGCTGCCCGCAGCCTTTTGGGGCACAGGATCCGGTGAGGGGGAGGCATAGGGCAGGAGCCCTCGCGAGGGGATGTCGGTGAGACACTGCCCAAAAGGCGGGGTTAGGGCCCATGGGGTTCCACACAGAGGGAGGGGGGAGACAACCTCCCAGCAGGAGGTCTCCATCCATCTCCTTCTCCAACTCCATCTGAATGAAGATACTGCTGGGAGGAAGAGAAGCACTGAGAGAGGATGTGCAGAGAAAGCCAGAGGATGCAGTGCAGTTGGAAATTAGAAGGTTCTGTTTTGGCATCAATCCTTCACCTCCCCTTAATTCCCAGTAATTACACCATTTATTTAGGTAAGGCTCTTGGAGCAGAGTGAGCAGAGGAGAAAACAGCAGGAGGCCCTCCACCCCGGCATGCCATCCTCCCAGCCAGCTCCCTTACACACTTGGGTGTGCAAACAAGCACGTGCAGCCTTTCTCCTCCTCCTTCCCTCAGCAGTTCTTGCTCTGCCCATGCCAGCAGTACTCCAAGACCCTCTCCCACAGCAGGAAACAGTGTTGTGCCCTCCAGTGAGACTATGGACCCCCAGCTCCAGGATTAGGAGAGAAGAAAGCAAGGAATAGTGAGAGTGGCACCTGGAGGAGCAGCCCACAAGCGTCCCATGCTGCAGTGAGTGGCTGGGCTGGGTCCAAGCCCCAGCAAGCACCATCTCCAGCCCATCCTGCTGCCATCAGTGTCATCAACTGCGTGGGAGGCAGCACTCCTAGAAAGAAAAACCCATTCAAGTGATGAGCATAAGACAAGTAACAGTAAAGAGGGAGTGAAAAAAGAGCAGAAGGAAGATGCTTGAGAGAGTCACCCAGTAAGAGCCTATAAACTATGTTGTTCCCTGGCAGAGAGGAGTCATGGGAAGCAGGGGCACGGACACCTTGCAGCAAATGTGCCACGGCCCTTTCAGTTTCACTTGGTCCCTAGAATCTGGCTGAGGTGTTCCCCATGCTGGGTTTACAGAGGCAGCGAGCAGCTGTGGGTAGTGCTCATCCCTGCCACGCCATGCCCACCACCCCGGCCCCGTCTCAGGGCCATGACCTCCATTCCATGTCCCCAGCACATGCCGCACACTTGGCTGCATTGAGCCCACCAAGCACTGCGCAGGGCTAATTTCTGATGGTGCTGTCACGATGCATCATGTCAAATACCTCACAGGAGTACAAGCACATTATGCCGACACAGCCACCTTTGTCAGCCAGAGCTGAAATCCCAACATGAGAACGCCACAGGTTTAGCCTTCCTCAGCACCCCTGCAGCAAATCCATGCCAGGGTCCTCTCAGGGTTCCTCGCAGCCCAGCACTGCCTGAGTCCCCTGCAGCCCAAATGCTGCTGCTCTGGAGCTGCACTTGGCGCCTGCAGCAAAGCAGCAGGCCCAGCCTCACTTCCTCCCTAAGTAATTGCTTTAATTAGCATAGGGCTTGATGTAGGTGATTAGTTCTCGGGAACTTTGGCAGCAGGCAAACAGACCAGCACAACCCCTCACGGCCTTTGCATTTATCTGCCTCAGTGCCAGCCTCAGTGCCAGCTGCTGATCCATCTCCATCAGCCCACATGAGCCCTCGCTGAGCCCATCTGGGGCTGAAGTGCTCAGAAATAACTAACTGCCCATTGCAGCTGCCCTACCACATGGTGGTGGCGCCCAATCTGGAGGAGCAGCCAGAGCCCCAGGAGCTCTCGGGATGTCACTGCTTTGTGAACCTGGGAGAAGAGGGAAGGCGAGGGGCTCGGCAAGATGATGGAGCATGGCTGCAACCTTCAAAATGACTGTTTCTCTGATTTCAGCACTTGAGAAGGCAGCAGGTCCTGGAGCTCTGAAGTCCATCCGTCTCTCCCAGCGCCAGCACCATGCGCTCCCGCTGCCCCAGCACCCACATCTCCCGGTCCAAGGCAGGAGCAGATGAAAGGCTTCTGCTGAGGATGCGGCATGGAAACAAATCCCTGTGCTCTCTGGAGTGTGCCCGGCACACTGTGGCAGCGGGCAGAGGCCTCTGCTCCAGGGGCTGAGAGGAAGGGGTGCCATGATGGGGCTGGGGATGGCTGAAGGCAGCAGCTATAAGGGGAGGCCATTCCCCACTGTGTGCCGAGCCCCGCGCAAGGCTGGCAGCAGTGCCACATTGTGTGCTGCATACCAAGATCCCAATTAGAGGCAGACGCCTCACATGCTGAACACTTTCATTAATTTGCCTTTTCCTGTCAGAGAATGGCTTCTCTGACAGACTGGGAGGGAGCAGAGAGGGCTGCTGCTGCCCAGCAAACTGCGCTTCTGCCTAGGCCAGAGAACGGCTGGCTGCAGCAGAAACCCACTTGTTTTTGGAAGGAGTCTCACCTGCTGCTGGCCTCCAGAGGCCTGTGGATGAGAAGAGCCATGATGAATGGCTGCATGCCTTAACATGTGGGGAAAGGGACATCACCAGCTACTGCCACAAAGGAGGGGAAGGCTCCCTGCAGCCAGGCCCCACGAGCTCCTTTGCAGCAGGGCCCATACAGGGAAGGATTCACACAAAAGGCCCCATCCAGCACAGCAGCTCCAACCAGTATTTCCAGGGCCCCAGGCTTCTGGTTCCTTCCTTTTCTTTTCCTTGCTAACCTAAATTACATTGGGACCTCTGGCTGTTCCCCTACTCTT